TAAATGCAATTTGGTTTTATTAAACAATACACTTCTACGAATACAACACCAATTATTTGCAAAATCGATTGTTTTCCCATTAAGCCCCTTACTATTATTTTATTATTAATACTAATTGAAATAATAACAATAATAATTGAACTGTCATTAGATTGTCTAACTAATATTGCATTTTTTTTCTCTTTAATTTAATTGCAGAAATAACACGCAGCCGCCGTCAAATGACAATAAATTTTCTCTAGTAGTATCATCATTATTTGGAAGAATTTTTTTTTTTTTAGAAGAAAATTGCTTAAAGCACGCATTGTCGTATACGACCAATTCAGATAGAATAAGGAAAATTTTGTGAAAATCGTTAACAAAACGGCTGCATAATAACAAATACACAAGGTTCAACAAGTAACTACTTAGAACGTTCCAAAGAGTCACCCAGTCAATAAAAACTAAAAAAAAAAAAAACAAAAACAGATATCTAAATGATAAATATGGATATAAGCGTGACACCGAATTATTCATACATTTTCGATTTCGAAAATGATTTCATCCATCAACGCACACGCAAATGGATGGTGGAGAATTGGACTTGGGTGTTTTACTATTGTGGCATTTATATGTTGGTGATATTTGGCGGGCAGCATTTTATGCAAAATCGTCCCAGGTAAGTCGCGAATGCAAATTAAAATACTCAAAACGCACAAAAATTAATATTTTTTTTAGCTACTTAAATATTTAATGAGCGTTAATTAACACTATGTATGTACATATGTACTATAAATTAACAATAGTGAGTCGCTTAAATACTGCTGATTAATAAATATCTAAGTATGTTGTGTCTAGTAAAATTGAAGCAGTTCGATGACTTGCAAAAAGCCTAATTTTAATACTAAGTCATTTGAATTTATCCACCTTAATACAATAGTAAGTGAATATTCATATATGTATGTAAGTACATACATGCGTAGATTAGTGTGCGTCACCAAAAAAAGTTACAGTTTTACCACCAGAATCATAATTTTTTCTATATTTAAAATTTAAAATGCTAAGATTTATGTTAGCTAGACCGATTTGAAAATACCTCCCTAAAAACTAATTTTATTAATAAAAAAACTCGTATTTTTTCGAAAGATTTTCAAATTGGTCCAGCTGACTTAAATCTTAATATTTTTACGAAATATTTTGGTTCATATCTTAAAATATAATAAATTTTATATATCCGATGGAAAAACAGTACCGATTTTAATTTTTTGTATGGAGAGTGATGCACTCTAATTTACATACATATGTATATGCGGCGATAATGATTTATAAAAAGTTCTAATCTTATCCAAATTGCAAAAAAAAAGCAAATAAGCACACGTCTTAAAACATTTGTGAAAATCAGGGACCGAACATAACAGTTATTGATGAATACTGTCATTGAAAAATTCTCTGCGAAGGAAATGTTCTACAACTAAGTGATACACACCAATCGATTTCTATTTTCGCCGAGAATCAAATTTGAAAAAAGAAAATTTTATTTGCAATTTTTATGCAAAAATAAAAAAAAATAACAATTATTTTTAACTTTTATTTTATAAATCCAAAATAACAATTTTTTTGATTTTTATCTAAATAATCTGCAAGTAACAGTTATTTTTGATTTTTAAATTATGTGTCTTAGATAACATCGAAGACTTTTATTTATAAAAGTCATCAATGAAAATCAGGCAGTGACTTTTATTTTTAAAAGTCATCATATAAATCAACTTTTATTTTTTATGTCATATGTACGTATAAAAGTCATGTTTCATTTTTCGCAGTTAAGCAGGTGTTGGAGAACAAAAGTTTACTACGACTTATACAAATGACTTTAATAAGGTTGATTTAAAAAATAAAAGTCAGTGACTGATTTATATTGATGTATTTTAAATGTAAAAGCCACTGACTGATTTTATTTATGGCATTTATAAATAAAAGTCTTCGATAACTGTTATCTAAAACATATAATTTAAAAATCAAAAAAACTGTTATTTGCAATTAATTAGATAAAAATCCAAAAATAATTGTTATTTTGGATTTATAAAATGAAAATCAGAAATAACTATTATTTGAGGAGTAATTAAATAAAAGTCAAAAAATAACTGTTAAAGAGCGATTTTTTTAATAAAAGTTGTAACTTGGTTTTTGTTATTTTATGGCCTTTTAACAATTGTATTCAACAATGTTTATTGAGCTCGAGGCCGTTTTTAATGAAAAAAAAAGCAACGATAATTTACAAGGCTAACTTAGCAGTGCGTAGGCAACTGGCTGAGTCAGTGGGATCGTCGGTTCGAATCCTACTGAAAGAAGTCTGATGAGAAAAATGTGGTGATTTCCGAAATAGCTATTTCTACCAGTTTTTCAAATTGTTGTTGCTTTTCCAAAATAAGTTTTTCATTAAAAAGTCTCGAGCTCAATAAAAATTGTTGAATAAAAGTTGTAACTGAATTGAGAATATTAAAATTATTAATACAAAGCTATGGCCACTCTAATGTACATACATACATACATTTTCAGCTAATCTCTTTGCATTTATTTCGTATCAATAGATTTTTGAGATTTATTGCTTTAATTGTATTAAGATTATTGTAATTAGAATCAGGTTCTTCTATTGATTTAACTGCAGTCAGTGCTGATTTATCGCTAAAGCACTTCAACTAAATTGTACGTATGTATGTTTATGATTAACTGATAAGGGAACACTTTATCTTCTTTTTCCATTTATTTGGCACTACACCAGCTTGTTGGTGTAGACCGAGGAAACCACTTCGCCAATTGCCTCCATGTTTTGCTTAGATCCTCAATTTAATACGAAAAAAGTTTGGACAGAACCCAGCTGCACTTAGTCCTTTCAAAGTTGTTCGTGTTCGTTGGCACCCTACATGCGTGTTGATTTAATCATCACTCAAACATATGACATGTCTGATATATATTTGTTGTATTTTGCTACCCCTTTAACAGGACTATAATCCATTGAATTATTCCCTTAAAATACACCAGAACCTTATCATCTTTGTTCGATGTCGTATACGTTTTTGGTTTATACAAGAGGGCAGACATTTAAATTGAGAATGTTGAGCATTATCAGGATCTGAGGTCTTTATCGAATATAATGGGGAATTTTGTAATATGCATCGGTCTTCCAGTCCGAAGTATTTGTAATCTTAAAGGCCGTGGACTATGTGGTGGAATCTCATAAGGTCTGTACTCTCTTTAAGAGTGCTCATTGAATAGATGGGAGTAAGATAGTTGAAAGTCCAGTAGGCGAGATTGTTTGGAAGATTTTATTTATTCTGGTGCGGAAGTCTTACAAAAAGAGCTCCATTCCCTACTTTCATGCTGAACACTTCTTTTGACGGGTAGCACTTGTAGTATACCGAGAGATCGGAGGTCGAGTCCTCACGCAGCGGAATGTTTCTTATCTTTTTTTTGTTTGATTACATTTTCCTTTTAATTTTTTGATTTTATTGTTTTAAAAATAATTTTTTTTTATCTCATTTAATTTTTAGAAACTTAATTTAGTTGAATTTTTAGATTTAATTGTTTTAAAAAGAAAAATATTTATTTTTATTTCTTTTAATTTTTAGAAACTTAATGTTTTCATTTTTAAATTTAATTTATATTTTATTTTTTTATTTTATTGTTGTGTTTAATTTTTTAAGAAAATAATCTTATTTTATCTGTGGTTTGTTTTTTCTTTAATTTTTAAATTTCATTGAATTTCATTTAATTTTTGATACTTACTTTATTAATTTTTTTTCTTTTATAATTTAATGTTTTATATGTTTGATTTTTATTTATATTTCATATAATTTTTAGGAACTTAATATTTTTTTTTTATTTTCTTATTTTATTGTTGTTTATAATGTTTAAATTGTTGTTAATTTTTTATTTTTTTTTCATTAGATTTAAAAAATATATTTTTTTTCTGTGGTTATTTTTTTTAATTTTTAGATTTCATTAAATTTCATTTAATTTTTGAAACCTAATTAACTTATTTTTTCTTTTATGATGTAATGTTTTTTTGTTTAATTTTTAGATATTATTGTTTTAGAAAGAAAACTATATTTTTTTAAATTTTTTTTTTATTTAATTTTCTTTTCATTTTTAGTTTTTATTGCTTTAAAAAGAAAAATAAATATTTTATTTAATTTTTGAAAACTTATTGGTAAAGGGCAAACAGAACAAGTAAGAAAGTCTAAGTTCGGGCGGAGCCGAACATTAAATACCCGGCGCAAGTATTAAATATATGTTTTCCACCTTCCCGAAAGCTGCCGCTACTGATAAGCCGGGGTGTATAAATTTNCCGCTTAATCGATTTCTCTTTTCATTCTGATCATTTATGTATACATTTGTCTATATCTATCTCGATTCGTTTTGCCTGTTACAAACAACCGTTATGTGAACAAAGTTATAATACCCTTGTGCACAAGTGCGCTCGGGTATAAAAACGCTAAGACATCCTCGTTCGGAGATCTTGTAATTAGCCCTTCAAATTACAGAACAGAGCTTTCAATGTAGTTGCCAAAATTGACAATTATGTTACGAAAGACTTTTAGTGAGTTGAAAGACAATTGTCAGAATTGCCTTCTAAAAGGAAATGTAATGGACGGCATGTTTTCTGCACGCGTTGTTTCGTGCCTGCCCTAGGAAAAAAGAACAAAAAGCTCGGGAAATTCGCAAAGTCACTATGTTATCAAACAGCCCTCGTATCTATCAAAGGTTTGTATACCGTGAACACATTTTTCTGCATTTTTAATTCTTAATCGCTCAAGTCTCCTTGACACCTCGAAATTATTTAATAAATTAAACGTTTTTAATATACATTTAATAATTGATAAAGACAATTAAATAACCAATATCAATACCAATATAATCAATATAAATTAATTTGCAAGAAATTGCCATCATTAAAGTACCTTCATCGAGTATAAAAATAGTTTTATGTAACTTCTGACAACCATTCTCGCTCAAGTAACCATTCGAAAGTGTTGCAAGTTATCAAAAAAAAAAAACAGAAACAACTATGCTTTTCGTAATGGAAAATGTTAAATCGGGAATATCAGCTTTTCGCTTTCACGACATTACCTGGCGCTATGTCGGACAAACGCCACCCTCGACACGTTACCGCTACATTTACTATCTGTATTCACTGATTTTGAATATAATCGTGACCTTTGGTTACCCAACACATTTGATGATTGGACTCATCCAAAGTGAAAGCAAAGCCGACATATTCAAAAATATCACCATTAATCTAACCTGTTTGGGATGCAGCATCAAAACACTCGCATTTTGGTGGCGTCTAGCCGATGTACGAAAGATCTATGCTTTAATTCAGAGGCTCGATCAACAAATCATCCATTCAGATGATGTGCAATTCTATAATTCAAATGCATTTCGGCGTACAAAGCAAGTGCTGTATTTCGATGTTTGCGTGGGTCTTGGCGCTTCGATCGCCTCTGAGGTTGCTACGCTGATCGCTGGCGTTTTAGGGAACTGGCGGCTCATGTATCCGGCATATTTTCCATTCGACTACGAACGCAGCGTGCTAGGCTACATAGCTGCACATTTCTATCAGTGTTTTGGCGTAACTGTACAGATTTTTCAAAATATAATCAATGACTCATATCCACCAATGGCGCTCGCTATGTTGGCGGTGCAGGTGCGTTTGCTAAATATGCGCTTGGTACGAATTGGTCAGCGTAGGAAAAGAGCCTCAGTAAGGGAAACAAATGATGCGGAGCTCTTGCAATGTGTTGAAGATTACAAGGCTTTACTGGAGTAGGTGAACTGCATACATACATACATATATTACTCGCTTAAAATTTTTTTTTAATTCCAGCTTTCGTGCGGCAATTCAACGCATCGCTTCTATCGGCACTTTCGTGCAAATCTTGGTAACCGCCATCAATATGGGCGTAGTCATAGTTTATTTGATCTTCTATGTAAATGATATATTTTCATATGTCTACTATTTATTGTTTTTGGTAGCAATGCCATTGGAAATATTTCCACATTGTTACTATGGTACGGTCGTTGAAATGGAATTCAGACAGCTGACCTATGCCATCTTCTCATGCAACTGGTTGGATCAAAGTGCTGCTTTCAAGAAGAATCTACTTATTTTCGGCGAGCAATCGCTGCGTAAACAAATTGTTATTGCAGGTGGTATGTTTGCAGTTAATTTGGATACATTTTTTGCTACGCTTAAAGGGGCATATTCGCTTTTTGCATTGGTGTTCCAAATGAAGTAAAGGCTATGGAAGTTTAAGTGCAAAGTCAACATGAATAGCAAGAAAGCTAAATACTATGAATTTTCTAAGAATTACTTATCAATTACACAGGCCAAAAAAAAATGTTTTTGATAGACTTTTTTGTGCTGATTGCGAATCCGTCAGTATACAATTGCAAATATTGCAAAAGACACGATTTTCTCAAAATCTGGAGCTGATAGAAACTTTATACTTACGGATTCCTCATCAGCACTCTATAAAAACAGCTTTAACATTTGCCACGTAAAAACCAGTGTTGCCCTGTGTTATTTATTTGATCAATAGATTGGACAACATGGAAGAATACAAGCCATATCTACATAGACTCTGTTTGTAGCGCTGGAGTCGAGGTATTTGCAAAAGCCCAATGTATGTTTGTATCTTATTTTCAGAATAGATGTTAGTTATATATGAATAATTATCTGTGCTTACATAATAAATTTTGAACAAATAAATATTATCCGCTAGATGACGCTAGAGTCGGCTTAATTAAAGAAGTTGTATTTAAATATTAAATATAAAGGTAAAATAATATTTTGAGCATGAAAATTTTTTAAAAACTAAGCGAATCTTATATAGAAGCGGAGAACCCCGTTTATAGAGCGAGGTTATATGGGATACTAGCTTTTACCAGCAGCGTGAGGTTAGGGTTTAACGTTATGATTGTCTTGACCTGGTACTCATGCTAACTGGATCTTTTTGTGACTACATAACAAGGGAGCTAAGTTTTTCAATGCACTCAAGGACTAATAATGATTTGGTTTCATCTGATAGGGCAGCCTGGAGCCCGCCTGGTTATCACTTTGAATTAACATTCTCTCATTATGATACATCTTTTGAATATTCAGCTTAGCCCATAGATAGATGAGAACAGACATATTGTTGCTGAGTCCGAAAATTCATTCCACCCGTTTTGCTCCATCACCACAGTATTTGTGCCTAACCTCAAAAACCGTGCCTGCTACATAATATCCGCGGTGTTTCTTGAGGTTAGGGCTGAACCCAGGCCCGTTAGACCGGTTCTGATGCCGGATTTAGCGCGTCAAAATACATAGGACTACATATGTCTCGTACCCAGGTCCTGACATGTTTTTTGCCGAGCATCTCCTTTAATTTGATGTGTGCGTCTTGATGTTGTTACACAAATGGAAGGATGACCTTCAGTTTTACGCCGCCTCCAAACGGCAAATAGATTCAGAAGCTTCCCTGCAGGAAACTTAATTAATTTAAAAGTAATTTATAAACTACTTTATTTTCAATGATAACTTATTGAAATTCTCACTATTTTAACTACAACGAACCCATTTATTTAACACGGTGATGTCCTAGGAAGCAGTCAATTACCTTTTCCTGTATGTATTTTCAACTAATTTAAAATGCATTTGGATTAAACAACTTTAAGGCCAGTCGTTTGAATTCGCTTTCGTTCTGCACTTCAAAGATGCTTTTTCATAATTAAGAAAACCCAAAATTAAAAATTTAAAATGAAATGTTTCGTCTAATGAGATTTGAACATGGACACTGAAGTTCTGAACACATTGAAAACGACGAGATACAGACCACAGCTTCCAATTTGTTATCTTCATTATCTAAACGCTTTGTCGATGGCGACATGATTTCTTTGAACGCGGCAGCGACATCATGAATTTGTATGAGTTTGACATAAAAGAAGAGGAAGAACCTTATCTGTCGCCAGAAAAATAGAAATAGATCTAATCTGGCCACAACCACAGCCGTCGCGTAGCCCGGTCGTCGCCAAAATAATTATCTACATAAGAGTACGTGTTAAAATAATTTGACAGCTGTGGTTTGTAGCTCGTCGTTTTCATTGTGTTCGGGCTATCATGGCCGTAACAAATTGCAGCAAACATCTTTGCACGCTCATCTACAGCCATACATTTAAATGTGCTTTCAAATGTTCAGTTTGAATTGTGTGCGACTCTGCATTTATTTTCAACTACTTTAAAATGAATTGCGTTTAAACAACTTCAAAGTCAGTATGTTTCTTTTGAAGACGCCTGCGTTCTGCACTTCACAGATGTGTTTTCATACTTCCACGACACAAATTGTTTCTTTGAGCAAAAAAAAGTATCGAAATTCGAAACATGTACTCTCGTACCTTCGGAGGTTTGCCATTGCCTGCCGAGGGGCGACACACAGTGGGACGTACCCATATAAGTTGCGGCCAAAAATAAGTAAACGTACTAGAAATTCGCTGAAATTTCGTATATGCGCTGTTCGGCACTTAGTAATGAAGAAATGTGGAAAATGGTAAAATTCAACGCGCTACCACGCCCACAACTTTTGTGGGCGGAAATAGTAAATGTTATCCGATTTTGATGAAATTTACGGCATATGCTCGTTTTAACGAACAAAGCATAAATCAGAAAGGTCGTCAAAATCGGTTTATATTATCGTCCAGTAATTCTAGAAAAACAGCAGCAAATTAAAAAAAAACATATATATTTTTTGATGAAATTCTGGGTGCCTTGCTCGTTTAAGCCAAATTTTTCCAAATTGGGACATAGTAAAGAATTTTTTATTACGGCGTCCACCTCCTACACAACTTTTTTAGTTCCAAGTACTAGATTTTATGAATTCTTGAATCTCTATTTCAAAAGATGTTCTCATTTCTTCATTTTAAAAGTGACAAAATGAAAACACTTACAATACCTGAATACTAGATTATATGCACGATATGTATTTATACTGAAGCTTTTAATTTTACCTACATTTTATACAACAGAAGCTGAGCTAAAGCAAGCAGGACTCATGCCATCGAAAACGGATCTCGTCCACAGAAGCGTCCATTTTTGGCTGAATGTTGAATGGGATTAATAGCTTGGCGAGTCTACATCTTCTTCAATTCCCATTTTATATTACATATTATTCATTTTATGTAGGTATCAGAGCCTTTCCCTTCAGCTCTTCAATTAAAATTCAATAAATTTTACAGGAGGTGGGTCTATAAAAGGAGGAATAGAAACTCAACTCGCAACTCCTAGCAGCTGGAACTATCTGATGATCTAATGTTTACTTGTCCTAAGTATAATTTTTTCGTATTGGTCCTACTTTAAACTCGTGTAGGACCAACGTGTTATGATTGCAAATATGCATTTTTATCAAAAATTCTTTTTGGTTTGGCTTAGCTGGATATCTTGCAATGCAACTGCGTAATTACTTTTTCAGAATTCGCTAATCCGTTTTACTTACTACTTTTGCCCGCTGTAGTCCCATTGTGCGACAGCTGTTAAAAAAAAACGAAGTGGTAGTACGCATATCTAAGCCCAACGGACGTACCTATGCATATAATTACTTTTATTAACAATTAGTAAAATAAATTATGCAAACCATTTAAATATTAATTTTTAATTCCCTGATTACCTATGCTGTCTTCCATATTTATCAGTTCCTTATAATATATACCGTGTACTCTACTATACCGTTGTAATCTTCTAGTCAGTTTTAATATACGCTCGGTTATGTCAGTTCTTGATACTGCCCCAATATCTGGTATATCGGTTTTTCGTTTTCTGGATGTCACTCTACGATACGTAGGACTAGTACCACCACAAACAGCTCGCTACAGATATCCATATTATTTGTATTCTTTCATTTTAAATGCCTTCATAACCATTGGCTATCCCACTCACCTGATGATCGGACTCTTCAAAATGCAGCAAAAAGCAGATATTTTCAAAAATATGTGTGTGACTTTCACTTGTATCGCATGTAGTATCAAAATTATTGCTTTCTGGTGGCGTCTGCCAAAGGTACGCAAGACCTACGATATAATCTTGAAACTCGACACACGTATAACTCATCCGGATGATATAAAGCTGTACAAGTCCATTGTATTGCGTTCGGCTAAACGGGTGCAGAATTTCCTGATTACCGTTGGGCTCTGTGCGTTTGTGGCCTCCGAATCGGCAACTATTATAGCTGGCATTATGGGTGAGTGGCGCCTCATGTATCCGGCATACTTTCCATTCGACATTGAGCAAAGTGCTTGGCATTATGCGGCGGCGCATATCTATCAGGCTGCTGGTATAATTATGATTTTTCAAAATCTCGTAAATGACTGCTTTCCGTCGATGGCATTAGCAATGCTAGCTGGTCACATTCGTTTGCTGGGCATACGTGTGGCGCGTATTGGCAAACGCTCGACTAATGCGCACAACATTGAACTGCAGCAATGCATTGAGGACTACAAGGATTTACTCGAGTATGTTGATCTTGATTGATGCTCCAGTTTCAGTGAAGTTAACGTTTCTTTTTTTATTACTTTTTAGCTTTCGCGCCACTATACAATCGATTGTATCGGTTGGTACTTTCGCGCAATTACTCGCCACCGGCATTAACATGTGCGTGGTAATTTTTTATATGTTATTCTATGTGAATGATGTTCTATGGTATATCTACTATATGGTATATTTGGTAGCAATGCCCATGGAAATATTTCCGCAATGCTACTATGGCACCTGTGCGGAGATGGAGTTCGAAAAGTTGACCTATGCCTTATTTTCATGCAACTGGTTGGATCAAAGTGCTGCTTTTAAGAAAAATCTTCGCATTTTCGCCGAGCAGACGCTACGCAAACAAATTATTCTTGCCGGTGGCTTATTTCCTGTTAATTTGGATACATTTTTTGCAACTCTAAAAGGTGCTTATTCGCTGTATGCGGTTGTGAAGCGAATGAAGTGAAATGCTGTAATTTTTTGTGCAGAGTGTTTTATCGCGAATTAAAGCTTTACGAAAAAATTACATCTATCTATTTGGAAGTCACAGTAGAATGTAAATCAAATTGTAACGAAATTATAAAATAAACTTAAACTCATAACAAACATAAAATTATTATTCACCGTTATTTTAACCATCAATGAACAATAGGGTGGTCAAAAAGGGTTTCGAGTGTTAAGCTCTTACCCGCAAATATTTTTCTAAATGGAAAAAGCAATATGTACCCGTATTTTTTAGTTAAAATGAAAATGATAATTAGAACTGCCTCAAAGCCCATGCAGTTTTTCATGTATTTTATATGGTATAGAATTCCTTAAAAT